TTATGGAGCATCTCGAACAGGAAGACATCACCACTGCTCTGATGAAGTGTCGTCTGAAATGATGGAAAATATATACTGACAATATCTTGAAAATATCTAAGAAAGGTGAGATTTACCGATCAATTCACCTTAATCAGATTGATGACACAGGCTTCAAACAACTGACATCAGGAGAGGCTAACGATAAAATTTTATTTTTGGATACCCGTATTTTAAGAAGGGCTGACGGTGTCACCAAATTGCTGCTATACAGAAAAAAATCCACTCATTTAGACCTGTACCTCAACTTTAATATACATCCATTGCATTGGAGGTTGGAGGTAGTACGCACTCTTCTGGACAGAAGACTAAACAGGAATGAATGGAAAATGAAGAGCGACACATAAAACAGGCCTGACATCATGTGGATATACCGAATGGACGATAAGGAAAGTAAAAAACTAATAGAAGATATAATCACACGAAACAGAACGTACTAAAAGTGTATTGCGCAAACACCACAACAGCACAACCATGCGACCACCTAACACCATCAAGCAACGTTTTGTTCATCCGAAGGACAAATTGTCGAGGAAAGACACAACAGAGATGGTTTACCACATGTCATGTAACAAGCCATGGAACTACAAGGCATCCAGGAAGGCATAGGAAAAATAATACAATATGTTAGCCATTACAACCATGCTAACATACGCAACTAGATACAGACTGGACAGCTCATAGGTGGTTGAAAGGGAGGTCAACTGGAAACAGAGGTAAATCAAAGAGTCCATCTACATTAGGAGAGAAGGAAAATCGATTACGATAGACGAGGAGGCACCAGCTGAGTCAGCTTTATGATAACATGTTAACCTCCACCAAGGTACGGAATTGGTAAACATATTACCCGCCCCTCTCACTGCCTGCAGTATTAGTGTTATTTGGAGAAAATGTTTCGATATTATTCTAGAAGAGCTTACTTTACTGATTCGGCACAGTGTGGCTTAGTGAATTGCTTTGCCAATTTGTCTTTTCCTGACAAAGAAAAGGAACGTTTTTGAAAGCTCGCAAAACAAGTTGGCAATTACTGTTTGTGTTCCAACAAATGCACGTATGTCTCTGATTAAGAGGAGTAGACACGGTACATATGTTTCGTCAGTCTTTTCTGTCGAATCGTATAGTATCGCGTTTTAATGTATTGAAAACATGTTATTCCTTATTAGCTAATACTGCAGATGCGATTTTAAAATCAACGTTCATTAAGCTACAGGGCGCCGATTTTAAGGCGTTTATATTTCTATGTCGATGGACCGGTGTTACATCGGAGTGCAGTGGACCGGTGTTACATCGGAGTATAGTGGACCGAGTGTAGTGGACCGGTGTTACATCGGAGTGTAGTGGACCGGTGTTACATCAGAGTGTTGTGGACCGAGTGTAGTGGACCGGTGTTACATCGGAGTGTAGTGGACCGGTGTTACATCAGATTGTTGTGGACCGGTGTTACATCGGAGTGTAGTGGACCGGTGTAACATTGGAGTATAGTGGACCGGTGTTTTATCGGAGTGTGGTGGACTGGTGTTTTATCGGAGTGTAGTGGACTGGTGTTACATGGACATACATGGTATTAGTGTAGTGGACTGGTGTTACATTGGACATACATGGTATTAGTTTAGTGGACTGGTGTTACATTGGCCATACATGGTATTAGTGTAACACCAGTCCACTACGCTAATACCATGTATGTCCATGTAACACCAGTCCACTACGCTAATACCATGTATGTCCAAGGTAACACCAGTCCACTACACTCAAACCATGTATGTCCAATGTACCACCAGTCCACTACACTAACACAATGTCTGCCCAATGTAACAACAGTCCACTACACTAATACAATGTATGCCCAATGTAACAACAGTCCAATACATGGTATTAGTGTAGGGGACTGGTGTTACATTGGAAATACATGGTATTAGTGTAGGGGACTGGTGTTACATTGGAAATACATGGTATTAGCAGATTGTTGTGGACCGGTGTTACATCGGAGGGTAGTGGACCGGTGTTACATCGGAGTATAGTGGACCGGGTGTAGTGGACCGGTGTTAGATCGGAGTGTAGTGGACCGGGGTAACATTGGAGTATAGTGGACCGGGGTTTTATCGGAGTGTGGTGGACTGGTGTTTTATCGGAGTGTAGTTGACTGGTGTTACATTGGACACATATGGTATTAGTGTAGTGGAATGGTGTTACATTGGACATAAATGGGATTAGTGTAGTGTACTGGTGTTACATTGGACACATATGGTATTAGTGTAGTGGACGTGTTACATTGGACATACATGATATTAGTGTAGTGGACTGGGGTTACATTGGACATACATGATATTAGTGTAGTGGACTGGAGTTACATTGGACATACATGATATTAGTGTAGTGGACTGGGGTTACATTGGGCATACATGGTATTAGTAGAGTGGACTGGTGTTACATTGAACATACATGGTATTAGTGTGTTGGACTGTTGTTACATTGGGCAGACATTGTATTAGTGTAGTGGACTGTTGTTACATTGGGCAGACATTGTGTTAGTGTAGTGGACTGGTGTGACATTGGGCATACATGGTATCAGTGTAGTGGACTGGTGTTACATTGGACATACATGGTATTAGTGTATTGGACTGTTGTTACATTGGGCATACATGGTATTAGTGTAGTGGACTGGTGTTACATTGGACATACATGGTATTAGTGTATTGGACTGTTGTTACATTGGGCATACATGGTATTAGAGTAGTGGACTGGTGTTACATTGGACATATATGGTATTAGTGTAGTGGACTGTTGTTACATGGGACATACATGGTATAAGTGTAGTGGGCTGGTGTTACATTGGACATACATGGTATTAGTGTAGTGGACTGGTGTTACATTGGTCATACATGGAATTAGTTTAGTGGACTGGTGTTACATTGAACATATATGTTATTAGGGTAGGGGACTGGTGTTACATTGGAAATACATGGTATTAGTGTAGTTGACTGGTGTTACATTGGACATATATGGTATTAGTTTAGTGGACTGGTGTTACATTTGACATATATGGTATTAGTGTCGTGGACTGGTGTTACATTGGTCATACATGGTATGTAGTGTAGTGGACTTGTGTTACATTGGACATATATGGTATGTAGTGTAGTGGACTTGTGTTACATTGGACATATATGATATTAGTGTAGTGGACTGGTGTTACATTGGACATATCTGGTATAAGTGTAGCGGACTGGTGTTACATGGACATACATGGTATTAGTGTAGTGGACTGGTCTTACATTGGACATACATGGTATTAGTGTAGTGGACTGGTGTTACATTGGATATACATGGTATTAGTGTAGCGGACTGGTGTTACATTGGACATACATGGGATTAGTGTAGTGGTCTGGTGTTACATTGGACATACATGGGATTAGTGTAGTGGTCTGGTGTTACATTGGACATACATGGCATTAGTGTAGAGGACTGGTGTTACATTGGTCATACATGGAATTAGTTTAGTGGACTGGTGTTACATTGAACATACATGGTATTAGTGTAGTGGTCTGGTGTTACATTGGACATACATGGCATTAGTGTAGAGGACTGGTGTTACATTGGACATACATGGTATTAGTGTAGTGGTCTGGTGTTACATTGGATATA